TATTATTTAAACATTTATTTATTTTATGGATTCTTATTAATAGTTTCCCACTTGCTACAGTTCACTCTCTCTATAACGAACCTTCCATCTATTTTTTATTTCTTCAATAATGGGAAAGTATTATATTAATATAAAGCTTTACTATTATGTATCAAAGGATATGTAAAATCACAAATTTTTAAATAAATAAATTCGAATACATATGTTTGTACATCGTGCAAAAAAGAAAAATACATAAAAAACTCTTTAATTTAAAGTTATAATTCAAACAAATTTTATTATGTATGTAACACGAAGATCTTCTACTAAAATGTAAATGTGACAATTGCAAAAATAGAATTTCCACTATGCTGACACTCCCTGATTGAAATTTAAACACTGCTTTGGGGCTCATAACCGATTGCCAGAATTGGTTGACCAATAAAAACGAATTTATGATTTTAAATCATAAATTCGTTTTTATTGGATAAATCATGAATTCATTTTTATTGGATAAATCATAAATTCATTTTTATTGGATAAATTCATTTTAATTTTCTCATGCACAACGACATCGTTTTTTCTAATATATTAATATTAATAATATGTCATCATCACAAAGGGTCAGAAACAGATACTCTAAAGCTCAATCAGAGGTAGTTGAAGCCGAATCAAAAAAAATTGCAGAAGCATGTAAAGGAAATAACACTCTTAAAAATATTAGTGAATGGTACCATCCTTCAAAAAAACTCACATTGCAATTTGGTTCCTGATCCTAATGATGATTATTTATTACCAATTTTTTTCTGGAGACCAGAAAAATTTTACTGCAACTATGTGCAAAAGATTCCTTGTATCAATAAAACTTGTAATGGTGAGACAAAATCAAAAGGTTGGGCAGATGGAGGTGCTCGTTTGATATATGGGCTTAAAAGAAATGTGTTATTACGTAGCTGGAGCTACTCTTGTGGTAAATGTAAAACTAGTTTTTATGCTCATGATGATAGATTATTGTTAAGGTTGCCAGAGCATGTTCGTTTAGGCATGTATTTATATTTTATTTATTAATTAATAATTTTATTTATTAAATATCATTTATATTTATTTATAATATTATTTATTAATATTATTTATATATTTTTTTTTTGTTAAAGTGAGGATGGCATTAAAATTGTTTATTAATTAAACATTATTTATAATTATTTATAATTATATTTTATAATAGCATTTCCATTTCATATGCTTACTAAATCAGGATTTACTTTGGAATTAATAAATGATATTATTTCTCTTGTTCCTGATATTGGTTGTGACAAATTGGTACAAAGAATTCATGAATTTCATACTGACTATTATTTATTACAAAAACAACGTTATTATGAACACTGTGTTCAATACCAAAAGTATAAAAAGAACATCAAATGATTTTACAAATAATTATGCATCAAAAAAATTTTCTGACTTTGATAACATTGAAGGATACCAAGGCTTGTGCCCTTCATTTAATTTAATTAGAGAATGCTTCTTGCAATATTTTGAAACTCAACTTGAAGATTTCTTTGATAAATGGATGAGGAGTTTGTCAGGCAAGGTTTTATCTTCTGATCATACTTTTAAGATTGCATCATTTGTGTGGTTATTAAAAAATCAACCATTTGGAGCCTTTTGGGCTGTGTTAAATGAATATAATGAAGTTATTACAATGTCATTTGTGAAAGATAAATCAAATTCTTGCATCAAACCTATTCTTGAGGGTCTTAAATTATGTTATCAGCTATTAAAAAAGAATCATCCTTGGGCATGGTATTCTGACCAGTGTTGCATAGATCGCAAGTTGATTAATTCAGTTTTTCCTGACACCCCTGTTAAAAAAGATTTGTTCCACTTTTTGGATTTGTATTTATGTAGCATTGGGAGGGAGGCTCAAAATAACATCTTTTACAAACAATTTGTTAGAGAATTAAGAGATATTTTTTTTATTACTGTAAATAATCAAAAAAAAATACCACAGCCTAAATTATTGGAAGAAAGGCTAATTAAATTTTTTGAAAAATATAACCAACAAAAATTCAATATTATTAATGAGAATTTACTTAAACAACATAGAGAAAATCTAGTTCATGTCAGACTTGGATGTATTTCTGATATTGAAAACAAACCATCTGAAATTATTATAACAAGTAAATATTTAGTTACAATAAATAAAACAACTATTAATATACTTAAATTCTTAAATTCAGGCCCTACAGGAAACAAAATTAAATCATTATGTTTACATGGTACATCTTCACTTGAGCAAGCAAACAAAGCTTTTGCTACCCCATTTCGACAAACAGCTTGTGGACCCAGAATGGCAAATGCATTACTAAAAATAACAGTTTTTAGGAGAAATATCCGTATGGGAAAACTTAACAGACAAGATAAAATTTTATTGCAATGTAATAATAGTTACTCAATCAAAACTAATATCAGAATATTTGGGTTAATGAATATTTTATTCCCAACAGAAAATTATGATGATTTTCAATTTCAAGAAATTATTTCTAATGAAAGTTTTGGGTTCTTGCATAATGATCGAATAGATATAGTAAGCAGCAAAACCAATTTTGAAGAAATAATTGATATAGATAACAAAGAACCAGAAGAAGATAATGATTTATTGTCTTCCTTGTTAGATTTATCTTCTGATAATGATGATTCTACTCTTAGCATTTTAATAAATAATAATAATGATAATAATGCTTCAATTGATGTAGATGTAGATAATAATGATAATAATAATAATAATAATAATAATAATAGTAGTAGTAGTAGTAATAGTAGTAGTAGTAGTAGTAGTAGTAGTAGTAGTAGTACCAAGTATCAATCATCAACTTCATTTCTTGAAGAAAGGACTGGAGGTTATGTTTATACTAAAAATTTTAATACTTGTGAACATACTGCATATAGAGAAATTTACAAAAATGAATTGTATTTAGTTGATCCAAAAACTATCAGGTGGGATAAAGTTCAAGAACATTGGATGAAAGTCACAGATAAAAATGCAGATCCTAATTCTTCTACATCAATTCGTCCTAAACTAAAGGAACATTTGAAAGAACATTTCTTAGTTATTAATAATTTTTATTTAAGGAAAGAAATTGAAAAGAAAAATGAATCAGGTGATTATAATTTATTTAATAATACAATATTGTTGATATATATAAATAATTTTAATTTTATCTAAGAAATTTCATTGATTACATCATCATCAAGCAGTGCAACTGGTAAGCATAGCAGGCTTAAATTTGATTGGTCGATCGACAAGGTATAGATAAATCGAAATTCATTATTAAAATTTCTGATCATCTGACTTTAACCCTTTTTCTGGCCACCAAAA